TTATTCTGATATCATCACCTCATTGCAACACATGGCTCCCTCAGTTGTATTGTGGGAAATATTTACATCTATATTGTAAATTGGATGAGGAGCTTACCTGACTTCTAAAAAGTACAGGAAAACAAGGTTGTTATTCTGATTTTTATTCACTCTTGATTGAAACACTGTGTTTTGTAACAGTCTTTCTTACTGTTCTGTAAAATTAACATACTACTCCTGTTATATCAGTTCAGGTAGTTAAGTATTATGCATTTTTAAAAGTTATGAACAAAATTCTCTATAAGAGAAGTATGTAACACTTTGATCAATTGCATTTTGAGGACCCTTCATTTCAGTAGGTCTTTAAGCCTGACTCTGAATTTAAGGAAAGCAGCTCTTGATCGACAAGATTAAGTAGATCACAACAATCAAAGCATCTTTATCCTGAGTGCTTGCTACCCTGCAGGAGACCTGCTCTGTCTATCTTGTTCTGCTTCAGGCAAAGAATTTTCTAAAACAAGTGCCTGACTTACCGACTGAAAGGGAGATAGGAGTGCAAACTAAATTGGTTTTAATCTTTGGTGTGAGACCTAAATAGAAAATAGAAACTGTCAATGCATTTCTAAACATAGATTCACAGGTGTATTTGAAAAAAGGATTGAATAAAATCAAAGGCCAGTGCAAATTAAAGGGAAAAACATTATCAGCGTAACTTGAAATGTAACTACCAACACCTAAACTTTAATGTTTAGAGAAGAGATGAAAGTTTGGGGAGTCTGATTAGATTCTTTAAAGTTTAGGCTCTAAATCTTCTGTCTGGGGAAGAACTTCCTGATTCAATCTCTTCTGTTAAAATACGTTGTGTCATGAAGAAGAGCCTCTGTAGGATGGGAGAAACGCTGTCATGTTTCCTGGCTTATAAAGTGTATCAATCCCCAAGATGCCTACAGTGGCTTCTATTACAGGCGACGTCTGTGACTGAGAATTTTCTAAACTGCCACGTAAAAATAAAAAATATCAACTTACATACCTTTTAGGTATTTTTCTAACAGATATTAGAAGTTTTACACAAGGAAAATACTTGAATGTTTTAAAACAATAATTTCTAGTGCTTCATATGTAAGCTGCTTCTGTCTTAATGGATAAGCAAACAAGTGGCATATATCTTAAGAAAACTCTCTGTTCAAGGAAATTAACAAAAGAAAAATTTAAATTTGCATCAATTGCCAATAACATTTAATGAAAAAAATAATCACAGAAGCTATCATTGAATTAGTATTGTATATCAGCTCATTGCTAACAAACTTTAATAAACAGCACTGTGAAAAACCTCTATCCCAAGAATGTTCAGTGTTTCAAATATGGTTTTGAATGAATGTGTCTTTGAATGGTAGAAATACAGAGCTGACTCAGATACTGATGTGCTACACCAGATATTTAACCTACTAATATTTTAAAGTTCTTTTTTATTTAAGAAAGTTATTACAAAGTTCAGAAAATACTGAACTTCCAAACTTGTTTGGAAAAACTGTAACAGTACAAAATAAAATATTTTTTAATTAAATACTTCACTGTATACTTGCATTGAGCAATTATTCAAGCTGCAAGGTCTCCTGGAAGAGTGTGTATCCTCATCACAAGCAAAATTGTCAAGTTTATATACCATCAAAGGAGACATCTGAACTACTAAAAAAGCCAAGTCATTTAATTGGGTTGGGCTTTTTTTTCAAAGTTGCTTCTGAAGATAATTGTACAATACATACTATTCAGGCTAGATGACCAAAAGGGAAATGTATACCCTTGAGAGAGGGAAGTCCTCTAGAAACTCTTCAAGGAGTGAAAAGCCATCTTTAACTGAGGAGTAAACTGGTCATTCACTTTGTTATTATTGGGAAGATCCACATCTTACAGCAAATTTCTTGGTCTAGAGGAAACATCCTAACACACTTTCAAATTGGAAAATTTTGGATATTAAGCAAGTTTCCTTCTTTAGGGATATGTAGCTGTACTGTAGTAAAAGTTGTAAATGCTCTGCTTTATTCTTGTGTAAGGATACTAGTACTTTCTTCCATTTGTTTCAAACTCCATATATCACTCACATTTTTCAAAATGTTGAAACGTATTTATTTTATATATTCCATTAAAAATTTCTTCCTTTAATTCATGTGGAAGAATGGTCTGCAGTGATGGTAGAATGCAGATTTTTAAAAGATAAATGTTTAAAATTGACTTTTCCTTGGGGCAGAGACTCCCTCTAATTAAATGTTTATACAGTGCCTAATGTAATCAAGCCAGGAGCCGGTTGACTGCTAGGCATGCCACAATCCAAATATTTAATAATAATAACTACAGTTCTGCAGTCAATTTGATCTTACTTTTTATACTGACAAGTGTTTTTGGCACACATACTGCAGATTCCTGCAATCTGAAGGGCTTCAGGCTCAAATTCTGCAATCTGCTTGGTTCTACCATATCCATCACACTAGCACTCAAAATCTTGATCCAAATTCTATCTTTAGTTTTGTGTGTCAAATGGAAGATGGGATGCCACTGTTTTGAGGGAAGTAGGACAAGTATCCAGCTGATTTTCTAGCATGCAGTTGAAAGAAGTGTCAATATTACTGTTTAAAGTTCCAGAAAGCACCCCTACAGCACAACTCACATGTAATGAAACTTGCTTGACAGGTTCTCTGATGAGTTATTCTTGGAAAGCATTCTTCTGGCTTCAGTATGTGTTCAATTTGCTGCAGTAATTGGGATACCTTTTAAGGCATGAGGCATAATTCACACTATTGACTTTATGAAGGAATTAATCTTTACCAGGACAGTCTTGGCTTCCACTCAGACCAGGCTTGTCTCTGCACAAGACATAACTCTGAAAATAGGAAATTGTGAAAACTTTTGAGAGCCACCATCCACAGAAAAAAGTTGTTTCTAGGGGCAACTGGACAGACATTTACACTTACATGACTCCTTCTGCGTGCCTAAAAATAAGGTCTCTCATCCTGTAGGTTAGCTTCAATTATTCCTGGAAGTGGGTACAATTTGTTTGTTAAGGATGGAGAAGCTGTGATTTCTGTCATTGATTATTTTTCATGTCCCTTAAGTTAATTATTAGTGTTTATAGGAATAATTATTTTTATTCATTTTACTCATGTTTGTATAAATTAATTCCTACAAATGAATAAAATATTAATTAATGTTTGTATAAATAACTAATGATTCTTGTACTGAAAATTGTATGTGTTGATGATAATTTCCCTATTAGTTCAGTTATTTCTGTGTGTGATAATTTAGTCATTCACAAACTGACATGTTGGAACCTCAGAGCTTCCTCTTCCTCTTCCCATAAGAAAATGAGTAATGCCTGTTCCTCCATAAGAGAATATTTTCCTGTGTGGAATTTGGACCTAATCTTTCAAATTGTATTTGTGGTTCTCTCTTTGCTAAAGCAGCCTTAGAATATGTAGCCATGAAAGTATAACTTGGAATAGCCAACCTGTTTACTGGAACTTAGTGTGAGCATATGCATTGACAGGCTTCCTGTCCACACATTAATGTGCTCAGAGACAACATGAAATTAGGTGTAGCCTGCTGACTGCAGTAAGGACTGGCAACTAACATCACTGCTGTAACTTGGGATAATCCTGTGATGCACCCAAGTACCTTTATACTGTCAACTCTCTGACTGTTGTTTAACAGTAGTTTTATTATGCTGTTCTTAAGCATACTAAGAGGCATGAAAAAAGAGTCCTACACAGCTAATCTTCCTCGTCCTGGCTTTGGAACTCTATCTCTGATTTTTAACATTTGGCAGGCATGCAATAAGTAGGAGAGGGAGTGGGATATAATGCATTTGCTTAAAAATATGGAAAAACAGACAGTGCTCTTATGTGAGGATAGTGCTTCATTCTTTACGAAAAAAGCATTCCTGTGTGCTGACAAAACTGTGCAGAAGTACTGAATCCCATAGCTTCAGTATGAAAAGGCAGTTCTTTAAGAAGTTTTTAGTAACGAATTTCAGTGTGTTCTTTATTATAATTTTTTCCAAGTGCTTATACTTATATTATGTTGAATCACATATTTTTATACTTCTTTGATTATAAAACATATAGCATTGACTATGAGCTTATCTTTTACAGGCTTTACTTTCCCAGTGCAATGGGAGTGGGCACTACACTAGAGAATTGGACTGATAAATAGTAGTGTAGCAAATCTGACAGCTGCTTCCATCTGCAGAATTTCGGAGGAGGTTTTATAACTAGAGGGATTTTGTAAATATATGTATCTCAATTATGACTCATTTTAATTACAAAAGAGAATGCAAGGTACTTGCTTTTAATAAAATCAAAAGAGAAACAAAAGGTATTTATAAAATGTCTTAGTGTCATAAGACTAGAAGCATGACACTAAAAGCTCAGAGAAAAATCTAAGTTGGAACACAAAATCTATTTTTTTTTTTAATGTTTGTCTTTTTAAAAAGCCTACAAGGTTTTTTTTGTGGGGTCTTTTTCCCTATGAACATTGGCTTCATTGTGCTGATTCTCAGAATAGTAGGAATTGTTAGTCGAATGAATAAAATTATAGTGAAATAAATGAATACAAACATACAAACACTAATTGTTGCACTAGAATGTATCTGTTGTCAACCTTTGCAGGTTGTCTTGCAGTTGTACAGCTCCATTGGCCCCAAATGGTACTGACTGAACATTTATTTTTCGTTTGTTTGGAACACGCCAGTATTACACAGGCAGCATGAGGGAATAATGAGCTGCATTCTTTGTGTTACTGAAGAGTCAGCACAAATTGTGGGAACAAATAACAATCAGACAAGGCAGTGTTTTATAACATGAGGGCTGCAATCCATCTTTGGAATCTTTCAAAGCTGGGCTAATAAAGGTCCACTTACAATCCCCAGCAGAGTAAAGTTTAATTAAATTTGTCCATTAGAGAACTCCTCCCCCCCTCTACATTTTAGAAATTAATTCTGCTTTCTGCATGTTGTACTTTCTACATCACAGATGCACTGAACCTTCGTAACCGACAGGTCATCTGCATCACGCTGAAAGTCCTCCAGCACCTGGTGATGTCAGCTGACATGGTGGGGGAGGCCTTGGTGCCTTATTATCGGCAAATCCTCCCAATCTTCAACATCTTTAAGAATATGAATGGTGAGTTATCCTAACAGGCTCTGTCTCTTTCAACCCCTAAGGTAAATAGGGGCTTGAGGCAGGGTTAAGATTTATTACAGTATATAAACTCAAATCCATTTGGAGCTCTAAATAATGTAACCCCCCACCCCCTTACTATTCCCGAAGGATGCACTGAAATTAACAATTTCATTTATTACTCCTTGCACGTACAATTTATTTAACACAGTACAGAAGCACTGAAGCAGTTCTATAATCTTCCGATAATTAAATTGTAAAGTTTTGTAACAGTCTTTTGAATACATTAATAAATTGCGAAGCTTTTTTCCTCCCTCCATCACATCAGTTCAGTCCAGCCTTTTTATTCCCTTCTGTGCTCTTCACAAGCAATTCACTGCTACCAGCAGGCTTAGGAAAGAATAAAAATAAAAGTAGCATCAAACTAATTAATTTGAGGGTCAAGAGAACTCCTTGTTATAGAAAAATTTCAAGTTATATAATGTCTAGCAAAACAGTGAAGTTTAAAGTTATTACTGCTCACTTAGCAGGTTTTATTGCAGAGAAATTTAGAACTCATTTGTATCTACAGCTGAATGTGTTGTTTTCTTTGTAGTGCAAACCTCTATTGCCAGTTTCAGTCTTTAATAACTGGTACTGTGGGTACTGCGAATGCATTTACACCACAGTCACCAGCTGGAATCAACATGATGCATCTTGCTTTTGCCAAACTAATCTCTAAAATATTTTTTCTGTCTGTACTTATCTGTTCAATTATTTACCAAGTTACTGACTTTAAAGTTTCTGTTATTGACATGCAGCCATATAGATCAAAAAGGAGTTAATTAGCTGCAAGCTTGTAAAAGAGGTTTTTCATAAGATTCATGGCACATTAATAGTTACCTGCAAGAGTGCTTCCTATTATACCTTCTGTTTGCATTGCTACAGAATGTATTCTCTTGTACTCAGTCTTTATTGAGTGTAAGATTCACCTCAGATTGAAAAACGATGTCCAAAGACTGACTTGCAGACTCAAATGAGATTTAGATTTTAGATTCTCATGCATGCATACATGTCTTTGACTCTGTTTTACTTAGTGAGAAACTTGCAGTAATGTATGGAATTCCACAAGTGTAGTGTTTGTTCAGATGACAACTGTGGCTTTCTAGAAGTTGTGGGATGAAAGTTTATGAATAAAATCCTTGAACTTGTAGCTTGAACTTCAGTAATTTTGCTAGGGGTCTTTATGAATTAGAAGATTCCCCCTTAACTGATCCAATTTCAGTATCTAGAAAAAATAGACTATAAAAAGGATTCTCATTGATTAATGAATATACAATACATACTTTTTTTCAAATTTCAGCCTGAAGTACCCCATAAATTCTCTTGACTAAGCTTTTCTGCAGTGATTTTAGATGAATAATAGGGAAAACCCATTTGTAAACATGTACATAGTATGACAAGGCATTAAGCACATTCTAAATATATCCTAAGTTTTTACTTTATTGTGAGCAAAATAAAACATATTTTCAAGATATTTGCATGCTCTGCCTGCAATGTGAATTTGTGCCTATATCAAACTATACTAAATCTTGATACTTGGCATTTAAGGACTAAAACTCAAAAAGAAATTAAAAGTAATTGTTCAAAATTGATCAATTTTATTAAAGCATTACACTTTTAGGAATAAAGGCTTTGAAAGTTCAGCATTACCAGCGATTAAGTTTATACTATTTGCAAGGCCTGCCATATGAAACTGTTCAAAGTTGTCTCCCCCACTTCAATGAACATATATTTCTTTCTTTCTTCACTGATGGTTGACAGAAAATGTGTGCTCCCTTTCTTCTCCTTTCTATCCCCCATATGCTTGATAGGCAACTGAGGTGCAGATCTTTGCTCCCAGTTTTAAGGCTATTTCCTTCAACGCAGATGAAAAATGGGGTGAGGGAGTGTACACTCTTCTTCCTTCTTTTATATATAGCTTGAGAAAAGAGGGATCTCCAGAGATCCCACCAACCCCTACTGTAGTAGGGGTACTGTAGTATGTCTTCCAGGAGGTGTGTGAATTGCAGTCTATTAAATCTGACAGTGTTGAAGTTTGTCTGTAATTGAGGTAGCTGGAAGGAGTGATGGCCGTCTCACTAGATCAGTATCTATCTGCTGAAAGGAACTCATTCCCAAATTCAGCACCTGTGAATACTACTCTCACACTAAACAAGCTTATAGTCAAGAGCATTAAGACATAAAGAGCAAGGTTCTGTTGTTGGTGATGTTACCACTAGTGTCTTTTTATTGGTGGAGACGGTGAGAGCATCCTCGCCAACTAGCCATGGTGTGCTCTGAAAAAGGGTCAAGGATTTCTGTTGAAACTTAGCCAGAGCCATAAGGCTGGCAGGAGAGCAAGCAGAAGGGAACATGAATTCATGCCAGTGATGGGGAAATACTTCTTTGATGTATCTGTTTGTCTAGTCTCTGCAGACTGAGAGGGCTCTAGCAGTATCTAAGCAAGCTGCCCAACATACAGGCAGCTTACGTACAAATGTGCTACTATAAATATAAGAAGCAAAAAAAGTAATGATAATGCTTACTAAGTCTATTGTGACTGCAATGCTACTGTAGTTTTCATTTGAATGTGTAAGTGAAATGTACTGTTATAAAACTAATTTCAATCATTTGAAAAAGGAAAGAAAAATCTGTATGAAATCAAATGGAAATATGCTTTTTTTTTTGCATAACAAAATTTTCTCTTCTTGTGTGTCTTGTCTTCTAAGCTACCTTTTATAAATCTGTGAGTTATCTGAGGTAAATACAATTTAGGAATGAATAGAATAAGTATTTATTTTATGAAAGCATGCAGAAGATAAAAATAAAAGGAAAAAAAAGAAGTCCTCATAACCTGGAATATGCTATTAGAGTGTAGGTGTACCAGAATGTTGTCTGAAACAGAAACCTGTTTATTAAGAGGATTATAGAGTTATGAACAGCAAATTTCTCTTGTTTAATTTACCTGACTGGTAAATAAAAATTTCACTGATTTATTTTAGCAACCATTTTATGCTGTCAAATCCAAGCAGCCTTAACAGCTGTACTATGTCAATTCATGTACACAAAAATATTTTCATGTCATCAATTTATATTATTCAGTAATGATCACGAGCAACTTTGAAACTAAAATAATGTAGACTAGATGAAAAAAACCCAAAACGTATTATTAGGGTTGATGTACCTCAGACAGAAAAGTATGAGGTGGCACTGCACTGTGGGAGGTACCTCTCCAGCATGGTAATTTTGTCTGTAATTTGTTTGGGTCACTGTAAGGCAAACAATGAGAACAGGGTAGACTGAAGCCCAAGTGTCTTGTGGCTGGAATAAAAATGCTTTAACACTATCTGTATGTTAAAGCTACCATAAACTTCTGACAGTCTCTACCTATCTAGCCAGTCTTTTAAAATAAAATTTTAGAGGTACGACTGAGAATGCCTAATGTAGCTGAATCGTAGCATTCAACCAAGTGTGAAGCCACAAAGGAGAATTATACTGCATGCTTTGCAGCACCTGAGCATCACTTGGGAAATAACATTCTCATGTCTGAAAGGTACTTCACATACTTTGGAGAACTCTATTTTACAAAATATAATAGTACTACATAGACAGTGAAGGAAAAAGCAGAATTTCAGTGTTTAATTGCAGAAGTGAGAGACTGTGCCTACAGGTAAAAGTGTTCCCTATATTGGAGATGGTGTATTTTCAGAAATGCTTATGTATTCCAGAGACAGCGATGCTCCTCAGAAAGCAAGAAGCAGCATTTATCCTTTAATGGGACTGAATGTGAATCTTGCCCAGAACATTTCAACTGTTTGCTCCTTCTGCTGGGAAATTCAAAAGTGCTTTCACAAAGAATGTCAATCTTGATCTCAAATATTTAGTGGTTTGCCAACTCTGTGTTCAGAAATAATATTTCAGGTTTAGGGGAAAAAAAAGGATGGTTTGAACATCACTATTTACAAAGTAATGTATTTGAGGTTCCTTTCATTTCTTCTCTGAACTTGAGATTTCAGATTATTCTCATGCAACTTTTCTCAAGGTTCTCCTGCTACTAAGAAGGTAAGATGCTTTATCATTTGTTTTTAGACAAAAAATGGAGATTCCCAAAAAATTAATTGATTCATGGTTGAGATTTAAAAAACACCTAATGCCATAAGGTTATCAATAAAATAAGGCACGTTAGAATACAAGTCATATTAGAGCAGTAACATAAACTGTGTACTAAATCCAGTTTTCAAATTGTGCTTATGCTTCATTTTGACACTTCATAATTCTGTGCATATTTTGCAAGTTTTTTCATTATATCCAAGCTTTCTTTGAATTACATAATCTCAAATCCATTATGATTTCTGAAATTCAGACCCAAAGATTCTGAAAATGCTTTAAGGATACACACTTCAAAGGAATAAACCACAACGACGACACAGATCTGAGTAAACGAATTAGATTTAATATATTTTCTATGTTTTTATATACCCCTTCAGCACAAGAGAATTCAGAATGTTCTGATTCATCAACATTTAATGAAACATATTGTGGTTTTCCCAGAATGGAGACTCTTGAGCCACTATATCACCTTCTTAAGCAGATAGGGATAAATTGATTGCACTCAAAAAAGTTATCATATTGGTGAGAAGCAAAATATATTTTTGTCATTCCCAAGGGTAATTAATGATAGTATTTCAATAGGCTTCCTATGACTTATAATTGCAAGAATATTTAGTTAACAAATATACCTGAATGCTTTGAAGAATATAAAAACATTTTTCTTCAATAAGATCAGCTGATGGTGTTTGAAAAAGTATTTTTCAAATATGTCATGATTCTTTGTAAAAAATCTCACCATGAGAGCAAAGTTCTCCTAAAATAATGTGTCATATGAATATAGATTAGCAGGAAAGAGATCCTCAAGAGGTAACCGTTGCTGTCTCACATGTTTTGTTGCATGCTGGCTAATCCTGTCTTTTTTCAATGACCAT